ATGCACGGAGTGTACCTGTGCTAATCATGACCCTGTACAAGTCACCCAGCTGTTATTTCAGGATGGGTTAGCTTTGAAAGACACTGTTTCTCTACCAAATAATTATGTTGGCTTTCAGAATGTGAACTACATGTAGTGAAGGATTTCAGATACAGTGTCTCTTTTTTTATTCTTTTTGTGTAAGAACTGTTCATCTGTCTTACTTGATTCAGTGGCCAAGGACAAGTGTTAGCCTTCCTCAGCTTTCCGACAGGCGACCCGGAGGGACAAGTTCTGAATAACTGTTCCCACCGTGCACTTTAACAGATACCATTTCCTATTGGTTCCTTTCCTTTTTTCTTTTTTATTCTCCTCCTTTTTCTTCTTGCCACTATGCAGTATCATCTCATTCTATAGAACAAAGAAAGCAGCAACCCCAAATAGTGTAATATGTGCTAACTTCCGTCTTCCAAAAAAAAAAAAAAAAACTCTATCTATATTTAGATACTCCACCACCTCCAAAAAAATCCACATTTGCTCTCTTTGTTTGTTCATTCCTATCTTTTATTGTTGAATGAAGATCAGAGAAAACAAAAGAACCAAGACCAAAGCAGCAGGAGGAGAGGGTGGGAGATAAGAAAGGAACTGAAACCATGGGACCTGTGCTTTATGTGGATATGGGACATGGGGAGGACTTCCTGACCGATGATGGGGTTTCTAGATGAAACCCCAGATCTTGAGGGTATTTTTGGAGCCTGAACGACCAGTGATAAGGATTAGGGATGGCTTGAGTGTCTGTCTAGGGAAAGACAGACTTAGGAGGCATCATGCCTATATTTTTCTCTGGATCTGGACCCATTACCTAGCCAGAGATCTTTCTTCTTACACTTTTTGAAACATGGTTGTTTTTGGCTTTCTCTTGGAGTTACTAAACCAGGAGATTTGAGACAAGAGTGATAGTGTGGGTATCCTTGAACCTTGAAATAGATCAAAATTCCAGAGCCCTCCAGGCTTGTATGGAGGGCGCGTTTTCCAGACAAAAGTAGTCTTTAGTTGCCCAAATGTAGCCGCTGTTACTTTCTACTGACCTGTGTCTCAGCACAAAGTGGCAGAGGACAGGTGACAGTACCTAGCTCAGACCTGGTTGCTGGGGGCCCCCTGGAAAGAAGTAAAGGCAACCCCAGCATTCAAAGCTGAGTCTTGTAAGATTTCCCATGACTCTCCCAGCTTTAGGGGCTGGTGGGTGACTTCCAACAACGGCATCGTCAGAGCAGGTATGGCTGCACCTAGAGAGGTGGTGTAGGGTGGCAGAAAGAGCCAGGGTTCGAAACCTAGCTCTGCCTCTTGCTAGATATATGCCATTAGGCAAGGTTTTTCATCCTTCTGAGCTGCAGTATCCTCATCTGTAAAATGAGAATAATTTTATGATTTCATTTATGAAGATGTTGCCAGGTAGAGAAGATGGTGCAAAGCACTTGGCATGTGCTGGTATAACTAACTGTTTCTTCCCTTCTGCAGAGAGAATTTACTTTCTTAATATAGTGAAACTAAACAGTTATCTAGCTTCCAAGAAAAAAGGGAAGCGATGGTAGTGCACTTTAAAACAAGCCATTTCCTCCAAGAGCCACCATATTGGTCACTATATCCATCCTAAAATACCAGCTGACTTTGTAGGATAGTGGGAGTAGCAGGAATCATGTGAGGCTTCTTGAGTTATGCCCCAGACATTTGTAGCTACGGGGAAGTAAATTGACACATTTGGTCCCCACTGCATAATGGCAGATATGGGTACAAATTAACAGCTGGCTTAATCCAAAATTTTTGGCAGACTTGGGGCATCTGTCCAAGTCCTTTAGGACTTGACACCAAGATAGGGATGATTCAGACACTTAAGTCTATTTAAAGAGGTGAATGACCCATCTTGCTCTGTCCCATGAGAGTTTCCCACCACTTTTCCTGCCTGCAGAGACTCAGACATCCCACAGCCTCTGTGGAGATGCTCTTCTGTTTTTCCAGGCAGGCAAAACAGTTTATTGTTGCAGTTGCTACTGTTTGGGGGTGGAAAAGGTAAGTCTGGGGAGTATAGCATGGGTGACAAATCAGAGTAGCACTGTTGCCTTTTTAAATATGTATCTTCAGAATTTCAGCCAGTGGAATTAGTTTCATTTTCTGAGCCCACAGATTTGTACACTTCTGTGGACAAGCTTGCAGGTTTCTTATGAAATAGTATTTATAGGGTTTCCACCCCTCCTGATTGGCTGCTTGTTGAGTGGGAATTAAATCTCTTGCATTTGTGTGGCACTTTACCTTGTATGCACTCTCACCTCAAAAACTAAAGCCATCATCTTCCCTCCCAAGGCAGTCCTAACAACCTTCAATCCTCCATACCTGGAGTTAAGCCTTATTTCTTTTCCCCATAGATTTTCCCCCATCCACCCAGCAGCCATTTTCTCTAAATTTTGCCTCTTCAGCTTTTAATCCATCCACCCCCTTTTTCCATTTCAGTTTCTGCCATGCACTTGCCCACCTGGTTACTTGACACCTCTGGTTGAATAGGACCCACAGGTGTGTTTGGTTTTGCCATCATGCCACAGACCCACACAGTTCAGAAAAAATTAATTGCCAACTTTTATAAACCAAGACTTCATATAAAAATCTAGATTACCAGTCTCACTTGGAAAATTAGATGATCTCTCAATACTGGGCAGGCATTCCTTCATGCCCTCTCTACTGGAGCCACGTGGCATCTGCACAGATCACCCGGGCCCCTTAGACCCTGTGCTGCCTGACTTGCACAGCTCTCTTCCTGAGCCCTGGAGGCATTTTGATTGTGACTCCCGTTTTAGAACATGTCCTCCCTTTTTCCATATCTTCTGTGTTGCCTCTCTGCTTCCTGAATTAAGTGTGAAGTGCCTCACCTGGTGGTATTCCACAGTGCTCAGCAATGATTCTCAAACTAAACGTGTGTTGGCATCACCTGGAAGCTTGAAGAAATTCAATGGATGGGAAGGGGATACTCAGAAATCTGTATTTTTAACAAGAAAGATCCCTGGATAATTTAACGAAGATGGCCTAGGGTTACATACTTTTATAAACACAGTTATGGTATGTTCCCGCAGCCTTGGCTGCCCATTCTTTAGTTTCAGTTCCAGAATTCCCAGAGAAGGAAGTTGATTGGGCCAGATTGGGTCAGACACGTTTTGTCTCTCCCACCAAATGGCAGCTGCTGCATACAGCATGTGAGACTAGGCAAGAGAAGCAGTTCCCAGGAAAGAGGCACTGGGCAAACAATGCAGCTGTCTCCTCTTCCGTGTCTTGTGCCCGTTAGCAGTACCTGTGACATGTCCTGTCACCTGCACTAGCAGTCCAGGAAGACACAGGCTGCTTCTCAATCAACTGCTTCTCCCCCAAACTACCTAGTACCTACCAGACTCTGGAGAGAGGAGATGTGCAAATGTCTATTTCTTTTAAATTTTTAACTATTTTTTTTAAAGTTAAGTGTGTAAATAGTTAAATATGCAAACAATACTAAAAGAAATATAGTAAAAACTAAGTCTTCCTCTCAGTCCTGATTTCTAGGGCCCTGGCCTCTTAAAAAAGTCCAGTCCCTTTTGTGTCCTGTGAGGATAGGGGCCTGTCTATAGAGACAAAGCACACTTCTAACATTTTATCCCCACAAACAGTCCTTTCCTTTATACTTGGTGTTTTTTTTCATTTTACAGTAATATATTATCCTATATTAGTCATTTCATAAATATGTTGAATATTTAAATAATATTTATTTATGAAAACCCTGGGATTAAACAGAGAAATGTTAGTTATTCTAATATATCCTAAAATTAAGAATATTAAGGAATCGATTGATAAAGGAATTTTTTGCCCTAGAGGTAGTACCAGAAAGCAAGCCTTCTGACTCCCTCCCCAGTGTGTCTTGCTCTAAGATGTATAGTTAAATGGTTTGAAATTACCATTTTTCCATGTGGTGAAAAGAATGGCATCTTCCCTTGCTTATAAAAAGATACATAAGAGGCACTGTCCAGAGCTGGGGCAAAGGGTCTCCCTCTAAACACATCTGGGGATTTAGGGCCTTTATGCCATCAGGGTGTACTTTAAACCGGCAGTCCCCAACTTTGCGGCACCAGGGATCGGTTTCATAGAAGACAATTTTTCTATGGATTGGGAATAGGGGATGGTTTCAGGATAAAACTTCTGTTCCTCCTCATCTCAGATTGTCGGGCATTAGTTAGATTCACAAGCGCAGTTCACAATTGGGTTTGTGCTCCTGTGAGAATCTAATGCCACTGCTGATCTGATGGGAGGTGAGCTTAGGCCTTAATGCTGGCTCACCTACCCACGCTCACCTCCTGCTGTGTGGCCTGGCTCCTACCAGGCTACGGACTGATAGGGGTCTGCCGCCTGGGTCTTGGGCGCCCCTGCTTTAAACATTCCCTGATGTCAATACACTGTTGCCACCATCTGCAAAAATGAATCGGGAAGACTTCTAACTATGGCATTCAAGTATATTCAAAATGCTGCAGAGATTGTTACAACAGGAAGTTCATAGGACAGTACCGGAAAACAACGGTTCTTAACTCCCCATTTCCAAAGTTCAAGTTTTATACAATTGCATAATGTCACCTGCTATGGGACCTCTTGCCAAGCAGGACATGAGACCAGCTTAGAGGTCTGTTCATATATTCAAGATTTACCATGAGGTGTATCCTTCATTTTACTTTTTCCTGCCAGTGAAAGAATGTTGGAAAGTTGTAGAAATAAGACAAAAGAAGTTTAGGGTTTTATGCTCTCAAGAGGTGAAGGCTGGTTTTCACTGTAACTTTACACAAGCCCATTTACTTGCTAAGAATATCATTCTTGTATTAATTTACCTCCTGACCATCCTCCTACTTCAAAAAGATAAGTGATTTCTTTAAGTGAATATGTACTGAAATCGTTGAAAAGGGTAAATGCTTGTCAGAATGAGGTCCAGCTTCAAAAGAAGAATTTAAATATTCTCTTTTCAGGGACACGTGGCCATCAGTAATCATGAGCAACCCATTTGCATACCTTGCTGAGCCATTGGATCCTGTAGAACCAGGAAAGAAATTCTTCAATTTGAATAAATTGGAGGGTTCAAAATATGGTAGGTACATGGCTCTGATAGCAATTGGAATCTCATTTGCACAGTGATTAAGCTATGTAATTAATTATCCTTTAGGAGAGTTTGAAGAGGCGGTAGCAGAGAATGGGTGAATGTTCTTGGGTTAAGTGCACAAGCACACACATGCCTTTCCTATAGTAGTCATTTTTAAGTAGGTAATGATTACATACATTTAACATTTATATAACACTTTATAGAGTATACATTTATATCATATTTAATCTGAATAACAACCCTATGGGGTCATGTTTATAAAGTATAAGAGGTCCTGAATTGGCTAAGGCCCAAGAGTCAATGACACATGCTCACATCACAAGTGTGTGGGTGGTAGACAAGAAGGACAAGAACACAAGTCTTTTTTATTCCAAATTCCATCCTTTTTCAACCTTTGCACTATCTTTTCCAGATAACATCTTCAGATAGTATTGCTTAGTAATTTTTATATATCAAAATGAAAATTTTATAAATAATTTTTCTTGTGAATTAATAGTGTTTTATTTTAGGACCTCCAGTTACCACTGGCCATGCTGCATAGTGTTTAGGGTTTTGTTTCTTTTGAAAGATGCATGTACATATACTTTGGTCTTAATTACAATAATTGTAGAGGAGTTATTTTCTCATTTCTTGAGCATTAGTTTTCATAAGAACTATTACTCCATGTGTTTGTATATACGTTTATAAATATATGTTATTAACACTTAACATAGGCTGGGTATGGTGGCTTATGCCTGTAATCCCTGAACTCTGGGAGGCCAAAGCAGGTGATCCCTTGAGTCCAGGAGTTCAAGACTAGCCTGGGCAACATAGCAAAACCCTGTCTCTACAAGAAATATAAAAAAATTAGCTGGGCGTGGTGGTGCTCACCTATAGTCCCAGGTACTTAGGAGGCTGAGGTGGGAGGATCACTTGAGCCAGGATGGTCTCAATTGATTCTTGACCTCATGGTCTGCCCACCACAGCCTCTCAAAGTGTTGGAATTACAGGCGTGAGCCACAGCACCCAACCCTGAATATCTGTTAAACCAATTAAATATCCGTGTATTTTAAACTGTTGGTCACTTTACCCTCTTTCCTTGTGGGAGAATAGTCTGATGCCTGCTATCACCTTTTAGAGATTGTCCTTAAAGAGTGCACTTAAGATGTCTCATGGGTTTTGTTTTATTTTGTCATGCGTTCTCCTTAATTCCTAGGGCGCTTACCATTTTCCATCAGAGTTCTCTTGGAAGCAGCCATTCGGAACTGTGATGAGTTTTTGGTGAAGAAACATGATATTGAAAATATTCTTCATTGGAATGTCATGCAGCATAAGAACATAGAAGTGCCATTTAAGCCTGCTCGTGTCATCCTGCAGGACTTTACGTGAGCCTAATGTCACTTTGCTCTTCTCTTCTCTGCCTCCCTTGTTAGCCTTTCAAGAGTTTTCTTTTAAACAAACAAACTAAAATACTCTATAATTACTATATAATTTATTACCCATATGCCCATATCCAGACACTTTTGAAAGCTAAGGGGGCTATTGCCCCCAGCAGCAAGAGGAAACCAGGATTGTCTCAGGCAAACTGAGACACCCACGTTTTCTAATGGGAAGGGTCATTATCCTTACTCCTAAAGATCCTAATCGTGAGTTTCCTAGGAAAGGTCAAAGAAATAGTGTGGAATCGAGTGATCTTGGTATCTTTTCTCTCCCACATTTTATTGCCCAGGAAACTGGGTATCAGACACTTGTACTTGAAACATTGATGTGCTGTCTGCCAAGGGGATGTGTTGTAGCTCACATCACAAGTCTTGACCATTACTGTTAAGCCTCGGTTCTCATCCTGCTATTTTTAGAAATCCTTGCTCCCCATTGCAGCATCTTTGTTGAGATACTACATTGCCATTTTTAAGTGATGTTATTTTGTTCCTTCTAGAGACCCAGTTTCATTTTTCTAGAGGAGATCACCAAAATGTTATACTTTTAAGCTAAAAAGAGGGAAAGATTCATTTAACAGGAATTTGATTCACAGCCACCTTTTCTGAATTATATCCATCCTTTACATCTGGTCAAAGTTGAAGGTGTGATCTGAATGTCTTCTGCAGGTCTCTGTCAAGCCACCATGTGAATGGGAAGCACTCACAGCAGTTAGGAGTTCCAGATGTTAAGTGCCAGGGTTCCCATCGTTGCTCTGTTTAGACCGTAGCTGTTACCAAATTTAATACAGTGATAACATTGTACATAGAGATACCACCCAGTCATGGTACTTACTACCTATGTGATTTCTGCCCAAAGAAATACACTTAGAAACTTTCACTTTTCTACATCTCACCCACTGTTAGGTCCTCTGATGAGGTAGGGCCTTGTCAGTATTACCAATGGAGGCAAAAGCTGAAAAATCCAGTTACACACATTTAAGGCTTATTTTCTGCATTATTCTCTTTCTTCTCTTAGGGGTGTGCCCGCTGTGGTTGACTTCGCTGCAATGCGTGATGCTGTGAAAAAGTTAGGAGGAGATCCAGAGAAAATAAACCCTGTCTGTCCTGTTGATCTCGTAATAGATCATTCCATCCAGGTTGATTTCAACAGAAGGTGAGAGAGTAAAATGATACCTGAGTGTTCTGCTTTGTGCAAAATCTTTGAATACAAATCTTTTTAAAATGTGTATATGTAGTTAAGTAAAAGAAAATCTTTAAAAGATATCTTCTGAAAAACTCAAACTTCATATAGATTTTGCAGTAAAGATGTTGTAGGGGGAAGAATAGGTAGATTTTTTTAAAAAGTTGTTTTGACTTCTTGGGAGCAGTCTGCATTTGAATCTGGCTTGAAGTCTGGGTGAAAACACACACACATGAAATTCTGCCCTGAGAGCTTGTGAACACAAGTATGTATCAGTGCAGGTGTATGTTTGAGTTTTTTCATCCACTGGAACCTTATTTCTTTTTTGATCCCAAATAACTGTTGCATATCTATCGATCTCTACCTCTCCACGTGGATTTCCACAATGCCTATCCCTTTCTTTCTCTTTGTTTCTTCTTTTGTTTGGGATATCCTCTCCTCTCTTCCTTCCAAGTCCTACTTGTACTTTAAGGCCAGCTTAAATCTTCTATTAGGAATCCTTCACTTTCCAGCCTACTGAGCTCCCTGTTCTTCAGTTTGCCAGAAGATTTAGTGTCCTGAGTGGGCCTGTAGATTTTGAAGGGAAGTTGTTACTTGAGTTGCCTTGGTAAGTAGACTCTCAGCTCCTGAATGCAAGAGCTGAGCAGATGAATAGGCACTTAATATACTAAACTGGGTGACCTTGAAATTGTTCTTCAGTTAAGTGAGAGTCTTGGTGAGCTAAATAAAGACACCTAATTGTCTATAACATCTTTAGGTGAGGAAAAACTAAACAACTCTGAGGATAGGTATTTTTTGTGTGTTTTTGTTTTTTAAATTCATCCCCACATCCTTGGCATCCAAAGGTATGCATATTAAAATGTCTTCATTGGCCATGTGCAGTGGCTCGTGCCTGTAATCCCAGCACTGTGGAAGGCTGAGGCAGGAAGACTGCTTGAGTCTAGGAGTTTGATACCAGCCTGGCCAACATAGGGAGACCTTGTCTTTACAAATAACTTTTTAAAAATTAGTCACGTATGGTGTTGTGTGCCTGCGGTCCCAGCCACTTAGAAGGCTGAGGCAGGAGGATCACCTGAGCCTAGGAGGTTAAGCCATGCACACCAGTTGGGTGACAGAGCAAGACCCTGTGTTTTTAAAAAAAAAAAGGAAAGAAAATCTTAGGAAAGAAAACATTTTACAAAGAAGAGAACTGAACATGTGGCTATATAGTTGTGAACTAGCAACTTTGGTCTGACCTCTTAACAAACTTTAAATACTTCTTAAGCAAAGTACATGTAGCATTTGTAATCCTAGCTCATTGAAGAGATGACTTAAGTTTTGTGAGATTAGGAGTTGAGTAGTAATGGTCGATTTTCCTGACTCAGTTTATTTGAGTGAGCTTTTATCTCTAAATCTCACTCTCTAAAAGCCTTTGCTTTAAGTTGGAGGTGTTGGGAGTGAGTCTTTGGGTTAAAATGGCATCAGGATATTAAACATTGTTATATAGCCCCAGTCTTTTGTAAGATATACAAAAAGGTATAGAAAATAGTAGAATCTAAGAGAAGCACTTAGTGATTTGATAGGGCCTGTAAGAGTACCTGATGAAGTTAAACTTGGAAAAAAAAAGGATCTAGTCATTTTTGCCCTTTGGATAAAATAGCAATCAACAGCTGGGAATGAAGTCAGAAGAAACTACCATTTGTCCTTTTCTCCAAAAGGCAGAATTGGTACCAGCCAAAACCATGAAGATTTCAATGTAGAGATAGGTGTAAAAAAAATCAGCTATTGCAGTGTAACACATAACTCCAGAATCTCAGCAGCAGTCAACAATAAGAATTTATTTCTTACATGTCTATAAGTTGTTTGGGAGGTCAGATGACCTAGGTGACCACAGTTGGGCAGCTCTGGTTTGCACTGCAGTAGCTGGGTTGGCAGCTTCCATTGAACCATACATTTGCAGGGTAGCTGGGGCAACCCTGTTCCATGTGTGTTTCTTTTGGGGTCCGGGCTGAAGGAGAAAGCAGCTGTCTTGTGACCACAGAGGCTCAAGTGGGCAAGTGGAAACACACAGTATCTCTAAGGCCTAGCTTAGGACCAGCACAGCATCACTTCTGTTCATGGTGCCATTGATCAAAGCAAATCACATGGTGAGGCCAAAGCTGGGATGGGGAAATACAGTCCACCCATCTTTGGTGGAAGTAACTGCAAGATTACACAGCAAGAGTTTGGATACAGTGTGGACAATCAATTATTTTTAAGAGGCCATTATCTTAACCTAGAAGTATGACGACGTAAAGTTGTCAAAAAAAAAAAAACTGTCAGTGGGAAAAGAAATAACTTTTCCACATACAGTGCTGGGAAAATTGATTAGTGGAGGGAGCAGTTCTTAGGAATTAAAGCATAAATGTTTAAAAGTTTTACAAGGAAATATATATGTGTCAAATGTCTTAATGAGACTAAATTTAGAAGCAACAAGTGAGACAAGGAAAAACTATAAATTTAGTTACTTCAAAGTTAAGAGAAGATAACTTGAAAAATACTTGCAACAAATATGGCAATGTGTTCATATACTTAATATATAGAGTATCTATAATCCATTTAGAAAATAATAGGTTCCTGAAGATAAATGGGCAAAGGAAAGTAGATATTTCATAATAAAAGGAAATGCAAATGGTAGTAAACAGTATATAAAGGCTTTCCAATCTCACAAGTAATAAAAAAAGTAAATATTTGAGATGTCATTTTGTTATTAATATAATTGAGATTAGAAAATAAACTATGAAGGTGTTATAAGGGAGAAACTTTCATATACTGCTGATAGCACTAATAATTAGAAATGGGGATTGAAGCAATATATGTTAAGACCTTAGAAATTTCTATATTCTTTGTCCTGGAATTTTTACTTCCAGGCATACCCTTTATATCATTTATTATTATTATTTTTGAGACAGGCTCTCTGTTGCCTAGACCAGAGTGGCGTGATCACAGTTCACTGCAGCCTTAACCTCCTAGGCCCAAGCAGTCCTCTCACCTCCGCCTCCTGAGTAACTGTGATCACAGGCATGCACCACTACATATAGCTAATCTGGATAGCCGACTTCAGAAAAAGCTTAATGGCCAATAATGTTTATAAAAGTATTATTTATAAATGAAGCCTAGAAGCATTCTAAATGTCCACAAAATTTGGTTTATTAAGTTATGGTATACTCCTGAAGTGAATCATTAGGTAACCTTTAGAGTTTAATTTATGAAGTCTTTAATAACACTTAGAACATGATCACATTGTAGCTCAACGAGCCAGATGCTACACTGCACGTGTAGAGTAGCATCAGCTACATGGAAAATTATGCAGGGATTAAAAGATTGGAACGGGTGCCAAACTGCTAAGCAGTTTTCTCTGGCATTGTAACTGTTTTCATTTTCATAATAAGAAGCTATTATTTTTATAATTAAGTCACTTAAGAATATGAAACCACTCAAAAAGAAACAAAAACACCTTTATTTGCTTCCTTGGGGATGTAAGTATGTTCCTTGCAGCCTCAAAAGAAATTTAGAAAATGGTCTTTCTCCAGTTAATATTGCTAACATCTAAACCAGATAAATTCAGGATAAAGAGAAATCTACTTTGTGCCCTGAATCGATGGTTCTTAGAACAGACCATATACTTGCCAACTCTTTCCTTTCCTTTGGACTCTCAACCTGTCCAAAGGCAATGTCTTTCCCCCACCTTCTGTTTTTCCTAAATCACACGAACTCAGTTTAACGTTTTGGCTTCAAAGGGTGGAGTTTAAAATATGTGTGAGATGTTATCTATTTGAGATAGGATAAAGTCCCACTTCAGAAGTTATGAAAGTAGCCTTAAATTCATGCCCAACTTCATCTTTCTTGGAGACTTTCATTAATGTTGACGGGTTAACGTTGATTTCACTTGCCTAGAAGGTGAAAGTACAGGTAGAGACAGAATTGTAATAGTTTTCATGTATAAACTCTATTGAGTCACAATTCAAAGAGCTCATGGCTGTTAATGCATCTTGAACTTGGGTCATCACCAAGTTCACTGTAATTTTTTTTTTTTTTTTTTTTTTTTTTTTTTTTTTTTTTTTTTTTTTTTTTTTTTTTTTTTTTTTTTTTTTTTTTTTTAGACCTTGACTCTAATCAAGTGTGTTTTCAATTTTTTACAGACCTTTTCATTTATACCATGTACTGAAAATATTATGAAAACAGCAAAATCGAGGGGTGAACTTTGACCTAGATTGATAGCCAAATCTAGCAAACCTATATATATATTTTATATATATATAAAATCAAAGAGAACATTTCTTTTTTTTTTTTTTTTTTTTTTTTTTTTGAGACGGAGTTTCGCTCTTGTTACCCAGGCTGGAGTGCAATGGCGCGATCTTGGCTCACCGCAACCTCCGCCTCCTGGGTTCAGGCAATTCTCCTGCCTCAGCCTCCTGAGTAGCTGAGATTACAGGCACACGCCACCATGCCCAGCTAATCTTTTGTAGTTTTAGTAGAGACGCGGTTTCACCATGTTGACCAGGATGGTCTCGATCTCTTGACCTCGTGATCCACCCGCCTCGGCCTCCCAAAGTGCTGGGATTACAGGCGTGAGCCACCGCGCCTGGCAAGAACATTTCTTTTAGAAGCGTTTTTATTGGTGGTATTTTTTTTTTTTTTTATTTCTTGAGTTGTGGTTTTGCAATTTAGCCTCATGATCTCCTCATGTTTGTGAGGAATTAAATGTGATATCTCAGCTCTGTGAAACTGTGTGCTTTGGGCTTATTTCCAGCTCTGTTTCTAGAAATGAGCTAAAAAAAAAACTGGGTAAGGGGTGGTAGAGTAGTAAAAATCTCAGTTAAATGTTTGTAATCTCTTTGCCTAGAGTTTCAACAATACTGATTAGCTTCACACCATCTTTAGGAGTTGAAGTTCTAACTAACACATTGTGATATTTTACAAACTTACCTCACCATTTTTTTTTTCTCCAACAAGAATTTCATAACAGTTTCTGACCAGATTTCATTAATGTGAAAACTATCTCCATTGTAAATACTGTCTGTGAATTTCTGGAGCTCTGTTAAATGTAATTCTCAGAAACTGAACTACACCCAAATCTGAATTCAAATTAAATAACTAAGAAATTTCCTCTTTAGTCTGTGAGGCCATTCACATTTAGAGACCTTATTAAAAGCTCACTAGATTACACTCATTTAGGAAAGTTCTGAGTGGTAGAAAAATCTGAATACTGGTTCTATTTATTCATTCTAGTAGCTAGACAGGCTAATTGAGCCAAGCTCCACATAATAGATGTTTTGTTTTCCTGAGTAAGTAGGATTTTACCTGGAATTACTGTATCATGAAACAGTCTAAGCATTTCTGGCGTCTGCACGTCCTGTGAACATGTTGCTTCCATTAAACTGATAACCCCAACATTTTCTGGGGTAAATGTTCCCACACCAATCATTAGTCATGCTTCTGTTGTAAGAAGCTCTGCTATCCTCCTAGTGCTGGAGGGTAGAAGATAAGGTACGATGACTAGGAGTCCGTACGTGCTCACAGTATAGCAAAAGATATGGGGAGGAGGGTCAGGGGTCACATGTGGTTATAATCTCAACTGTAGTGATAGAAATCATGGTCAGAGATGTTTTCCTTTTTTAAAAAAAATTAAATCCATTTAGCAGAGCTGTTATGTGCCAGTATTTATTCCAGAAACAGGTTGTAGTTTAGAAGGAGAGAGAAATTAGTGAACACACTGCCTTCATGCAGTTGGTAAATATAGTCACCACAAAGAAGGGGCAAATCATCCTGACCTGGGGAGGCTGTGGGTTCTTCAAGGAGTGTCACCTGATCTGGATCCTGAAGTCTGTTTACCAAGGAGAGAAGAGCTGGAAAAGACATTCTACTCAGAGCAAATAGAGCGTGCAAAGGCATGAGGAAAGTGGGGGTGGGGAGAGCATGCTGGCTACAGTGTGGCTGAGGCTGAGAGCTTAGACTGGAGGATAGGAGAGGGCTTATAAAGGATGGCTGAAGAGAAGGGTTTTTAAGACAAGGACTTTGTACTTTATTAGAAAATGGGAAGCCATTGGTAGATTCAAGCTGGTGCATGATGATTTGTATTTTAGAAAATGATTCAGGTGACAGTACCAAAGGTAGATTGAATGGCCTCACAGGGCAGCTAGTTGGGAGGCTATTTCTGGAATAAATACCTTGATAGTTGTAGGTACTAAGTGGTGGGAGAAGAGGTCATTAGATATGGACAGGCAGGGAAGAGGAACAGATTTAGGAAAGAAAGCCCAGCATCAGGGTTTGACACATTGAGTTTGCCTGAAGTATTCTCGATGCACATGCCCAAAACACACTAGAAACAGATCTGATGTAGAGACAGGTGGGAACTAGAGGGATGGAGACCTCAGCATACTATTGAGAAGGTCGAGATGAGTACCTTGAGGAGTAGCTGCGTCTCATCCAGAGGGTCCACAGAATCTGCTGATGCCAGTGTCTGTACTGGTATCCTGCCTTGCTCTGCTATCCTGGGGTTTCTCCTTCCTCTCTCTTTTGCTTTTCTTGAACATGTACACACATTTACAGACACTCATTCACTCAGGCAGGGATCAGCAGACTTTTTCTAAAAAGGGCTAATAGCAAATACTTTAGGCTTTGCTGGCCATATGCTATCTCTGTCACATATTCTCTGCCTGCCCCCATGCCCCAGCCTATAAAAATATAAAAATAATCCTTTATTTGATAGTTAAGCATAGATGGGCATTGGGCCACATTTGGCCCATGGGCTAATTTGTAGACCCCTGCTTTAAGGCAGTCTCAGGAATTGATCATATTAAAGCAACTGACACTTGTCTTGGAGAATATTCATATCAAGAGAAAAAAAATCAGCATGGTAACCTTAATGTGTTTTCTATGTGGTAAATAATACATGCTTCTGGTCCTTTTCAAGGAGTGCCTGCCCATCTTGCTCAGGCTGACTCGGTGTCATCCTTCAGACTACATTGATATCATTTCGTTCTGGAAAGCATTCCAATCTCCCCAACTCCCCATCCCCAGCTGGGTTTATGGCCCGTTCTGAGTGCTCCTCTCATGGCACCCTGTACTTCCCATATCAGCAGTGATGATTACATTCTTTTGCAGTTGCCCTCTTACCAGACTCACAGCTCCAGTAGGCAGTGAGCACGCAGCTTTTGCACCATTGCATTTTCAGCATGTAGCCCATGACAGGCTCTGGAGAGGGGAGGATCAGAGTGGGTGTCAAGTAGAGTATCGTGGTTAAGGTAGAGACCCCCAGGGCCAGTCAGACCTAGGCTCAGATAACAGCACTGTGTTATTGTGTAACCTCTCTGTGCCTCAGCTGCTGCTTCTGGACATTGAGGATGACAGTGGTATTTACGTGAGGGGTTATGATGATGCATGAGTTCACATGTGTAAAGCTCTGAGCGCCCATAACGTAATGTTGCCCATTAGCTCTTGCTGTTCCTGTGGTGGTATTACTCCACTGCCGCCATTACTGCCACAGTCTCTGTAACTATGACAGGAAGGCCATGTGGTATAGGAATTAAAGGATTGTGTCAGCTCTGGAGTCAGACTGCCTGGGTTTCAATTCCAGTTCCACCATTTACTAGTTTCTGTGGTCCTGAGCTAGTTTCTTAACCTCTCCGTGTCTCAGTTTCCTCAATTGAAAAATGTGGCTATTAGTTGCACCTAACTCAAAGGGAGTTATGGAGACTATATGAGAAAATTATGGTTATATTATGGAGACTAAATGAGAAAAAAAAGCATTTAGAATAGTGGCTGGTTCCTAGTAGTGTCAATAAGTGTTAACTACTGGGTACTGGAAAGTAGTTATCCAGTACTTCATTAATTAATGTAGTCTGACTTTGGTCTTAGCTATTAATTTTACTAGCCTTTCCTGTGTTCACTCAATCCTGATAATACTCTTTATGAGCACATTCTGTGTGCTGAATCTGCAATCTTGTGACTATAACTTATTCTACCTTGACTCAAAGTAATGCAGTTTGATCTTGAAAATCCTAGAAAATCTTCTTGGTGCTATCTGTTGTCCTGATGGACCGAATGGCCTTGAGTAAATCTTAGCATATAACCTGTGGTTCACAGATGTTATCAGGTGATACCATCTTCCTCATAAACTTTGGTCCTACACACAGGAAATTGTAATTCTGTAAGGTACTGATCCTCTCGGTGTTGATAGTTTTCCGTCTCCCAACATATAGAGATGAAAATGCCAGCCCAGACACAGCCCAGGTCAGAGAGGTGTTACAGTGAGGTTATGGATGAGGAGTATAGAAGAAAGAGTTCTTTAAATGTCCAAGCTGCTGTTGTCATATAAATGTCTTGAGTCTGTTCCTAAGAGTCAGACTTTACCATTAAATCAGTTTTAACTTGAATTCACTTCATGTTTTCTGCCTTCCATATTTAAAGGCATTGTAGGAATCACTTGAACCAAACAATAATTACTCTTTTTACTTTGACTAGTTACCTCTCCTTTTCCTTATTGTAAATAGTCATGAATGAAATTCATATTATCACTCAGCAAGCACAGAGATGCAATTCCATTTTGTTTCTTCATCACCCATAAATTTGACCACTAACATGTTAAGCCTCAACATGTATACATTTAATTTTTCTCTCTGACAGGGCAGACAGTTTACAGAAGAATCAAGACCTGGAATTTGAAAGAAATAGAGAGCGATTTGAATTTTTAAAGGTATGGGCAGGGTCTGGTTCCACTGTTTGGTTTTCTGTGTATGTGGGGTACAAGGGAGAGGTGCCAGGAAGATGGGCCGAGTAGAAGTACCTCATGTGTTCATAGTGCTCTTTCCATTTGTCAATCCCAGTGGGGTTCCCAGGCTTTTCACAACATGCGGATCATTCCCCCTGGCTCAGGAATCATCCACCAGGTGAATTTGGAATATTTGGCAAGAGTGGTATTTGATCAGGATGGATATTATTACCCAGACAGCGTCGTGGGCACAGATTCACATACTACCATGATTGATGGCTTGGGCGTTCTTGGTTGGGGTGAGTGTTCTTCCAGGTTTCTATTCCATATATGCTGTTTTGGGTCATGTGCCTTAATTCACTGTGATTCCATTACATCTCAGTAACATGAATTTACATGACCACAAGTTTCAGAGAGGTATTTTTGGCAGTTTCATCACTGCTGTTTTTCCAGTGCCCAGAAAATCACTTTGCACCCAGCAGGCACTCAATAATTATGCTTGGAAGAATTAATGGGAGCAAGGGGTTAGGGATATTTAGCATACACAAAAATCACCCTGGGTGTTTGTTAAAAGGAGACTCCCAAAGCCTACTCTTCCTTGCATGTGGCACCAAGGGGATTTTGATGCAGGTGTTTGGGGGACCATGCTTTGAGAAACACTTGTTAAAAAACTCAATAAAGGAAAATAGAGAAAACCTGCTGTTTATAAAAACATAACTCTGTACCAGTTAAACATTGTAACTGGGTTTATTACCTGTTAATGACACTAAATGTATACCTGAGAGATAGAGTAAGGAGTAATGAAAGCATTCTTCTAGTCATGCCGTTCGTTGCAGGTGTCGGTGGTATTGAAGCAGAAGCTGTCATGCTGGGTCAGCCAATCAGCATGGTGCTTCCTCAGGTGATTGGCTACAGGCTGACAGGGAAGCCCCACCCTCTGGTAACATCCACTGACATTGTGCTCACCATTACCAAGGTAACGATAGGCAGCCTCTTTTGTGGTCTTGGAAAGTTACAATGACAGCTTTCCAGTGGAGGGAATACAGAAGGGAATCTAGTTTATGTTTCCATTTGCTCTAGCAATGCTAGGAAACCAGGTTGATGATTTTAAAAGGAGAGGAGATAAGAGGAGTATTCTATGTTAAGTTTAGATAATTATGTGTATTTTCCTCTAGTATTGCTGCATGGATCTTTTACTTAAATATTTTAAATTGTTAAATAGTTCAATGACACAGAAATTAAAATGGCATTCATATGCCCACCACCTAGATTTAACAGATGATACCATTTTGTCATAGTTGCTTCAGAGCTCTATATTTTTAAAGAAATAATATGTAATATCTGTGGCTAAAGCCACACTCCCTGTTTCTAGAAATAATCACTATCCTGAGGTTGTAAGAATCATCCCCATGTATGTGTTTATACTTTTACTACATTTTTTCCACATGGTTCTTCTTTTTATGTAAATAGCAAGGTAGTTCCATGAATAGACTTTGACTTTTTAAATTCTCTTCTTTGTATTATAAGTTAAATTATTGTAACAGATATGTCACCAAGCTGGAAAGTGTTAGGCTTTTTCTGTAGCTGTTATAGGAGATCATCTTTTTTTTCTGTGATTTGCTTGTTTTGTAAAAAGAAGGCCATTTCATTTTGGAAGACTCTTGCAAAAGCAATGGTTTTTAATGATCACAAACATATTTTTCTGATTTTATAATTTGGAGGTGTGGGGTCATTTGCCTGGACACACTATTGATAAAGTGCAAAAGACATTTCTCTTTGATTTAATTTTTGTGAAATTTGGAGTTAGATTTATTTGAATACCACAGCTTATCACAAATGTCTGTGGACTGTTCTTCAGTTGTGGAATAATACAGGACTTCCTCACAAAATCTGGCAAAGTCCCATATAACCAAAAGAGCCCATCTTTGTGGTTGTAGGTAGAAACTGGCTTTATGCAGAGCTACGTCAGTCACTCCTGGCTGGTGCCTTGTATGGAAAAGATATGAGGATCTTTTGGTTACATTTGACTTATACTTGTAGAATGAATTTTTTCATTATTCCTTTGAAAAGTTATTTTCTTAACTAATGCAAGTAGTTATTTAGGTTGAAAGAATTTAATATTTAGCACTTACAGACACTTCCAATCATCTCATTAGAGAAAGAATGTTTCTCATTTTGAAATACTTTTCTTAATGTCATTTGTATTTTGGGCATACTTTGTCTTTCTTTTTATAAATAAGAACTATTTGACATAATCTTAGATTTATAGGAGAGTTGGTATAAAGAGTACAGAGAATTCCTGTTATCTTTGTCCCAGCTTCCTGTGATGTTAACATCTTATATAACCATAGCACGTTGATCAAAACTAAGACATTAACATTGGTGTGGTACTCTTAACTCAGACTTTGCCAGATTTTTCAGTAATGTCCCTTTTCTGCTCCAGAATCCAATCCAGGATACCATGTTGCATTTAGTTGGCATTGCTTTTTAAGTTTTTAAAGTGATTACAAATGTGTTGGGCTAATTTATTGTTTGGGTTTGCTGACAAGACTAGTTTGTAAGAAGTGCAAGACGGTAGTTCTGCAGTTTGAATGTGGGCCGTCAAATCTCAAACTTTTCTCTTGTTTCTGCTGCTTAGCACCTCCGCCAGGTTGGGGTAGTGGGCAAATTTGTCGAGTTCTTCGGTCCAGGAGTAGCCCAGTTGTCCATTGCTGACCGAGCTACAATTGCCAACATGTGCCCAGAGTACGGAGCAACTGCTGCCTTTTTCCCAGTTGATGAAGTTAGTATCACGTATCTGGTGCAAACAGGTAAGTGAAGGGCCATGAAAGCAGAGGGCTCTTTGGAAAAGTTCCATAAAACACTGAGAATCTGAGCATTGGCTTCTGCCTCTACCCAACAGAAGGCACTGGGTTACAGTTACACAATTTTTTTTTCTCTCAATGGAGTCAAAATGGGTTTTTGGGATTTAAGGAATTAATATGAGACAGAGATGGTATGGCCAATGGAAAGAGCTCAGAGATTACAGAAGCCCCCATATTTAGACTGTTCCTCACTACTAGTGTTTTGACATCAAACAAGTGATCTTAGTAATGGTTACTGCTGTCTATGGGGTACTTGCTGTATACCAGGCACCTGGTATGTATTTGCTGTCAACCTCTTTACAGATCTGTAGGGTAGATTGATTCACTAGCTAATATTAGAGACTAATTTTAGAGAAAACGGAGGATCGAAGAGGTGTTAATACCCAAGGCTAATGAATAGCAGAGTCAGAATCCAACCCTGCAACTGCCTGGCTCCAAAAAGAAACAGCAGTCTGCAATACCCTTCTCGGGGATGTCCAAAAAATGAAATGAGGCTGGGCGTGGTGGCTCACACCTGTAATCTCAACACTTTGGGAGGCCAAGGTGGGCAGATCACCTGAGGTCAGGAGTTTGAGACCAGCCTGGCCAACACAGTGAAATTCCCAGGAGGCAGAGGTTGCAGTGAGCTGAGATTGTACCGCTGCACTCCATCCTGGGCGACAGAGAAAGACTTTGTCTCAAAAAAAAAAAAAAAAAGAAATGAGAGACTGAATGTGAAGGCATTTTAAATTGTTGACAGATCTTTAACTCTGTATATATTTGTTTAGAAATTTGACTTTTACCCAGCTACTAAGGAGGCTGAGGCAGGAGAATCGCTTGAACCCAGGAGGCGGAGGTTGCAGTGAGCCAAGATCACGCCACTGCACTCCAGCCTGGATGACAGAGTGAGACGCTTTCTGGAAAAAAAAAAAAAAAAAGAATTTGACTTTTAACTTTGAGAAGTTTTTAAAGTTTTTTTCTTAGTTTAAAAACATTAACTTCAGTCATGCATTTAGCAAATTATCAGTATCTAGTCTAGTTCCCAATGATACTGCGGTGACAAGATAAATAAAGTCCCTGCCCTCAAGTAGCTTACTTTCCAGTGAGGGGGGAAGACACTGAACAAGTGAACAAATGCATAAATGTGATAATGAAAAAGAAAGGGCAGGTGGGTGAAGTACCCCAGAGGTGCTTGCACTGATGTCTGGATGAAGTGAAGGGACAGCCATGGGAAGGGTTTCATGAGAATCTTACTCCAAATAAATCTTAGTCTTCTCCCATAGCCTAAGGAAATTCCTCAAGAAATTGTAAAGATTGCGATGAAAAGGTTTATTTAAAAAAATGTTTTTATTAAATATAACCACATTGAAATTGATTAATACATCTTTGTTCCCCCAAATGATTTTTTTTTTTTTTTTTTTTTTGAGACGGAGTCTTGCTTTGTCACCCAGGCAGGAGTACAGTGGTGCCATCTTGGCTTACTGCAACCTCCGCCTCCCAGATTCTAGCAATTCTCCTGCCTTACCCTCCTGAGTAGCTGGGACTATAGGCTCATGCCACCATGCCCAGCTAATTTTTTGTATTTTTAGTAGAGACATGGTTTCACCATGTTAGCCAGGATGGTCACAATCTCCTAGACTAGTGACCCGCCCATCTTGGCCTCCCAAAGTGCTGGGATTACAGGCGTGAACCACTGTGCCTGGCCCCCCCCCAAAGGATTTTAAGTGAAAAAGATAACTAAAAGAACAGAATAAATAATTGAGGGAATCGAGATCAGCCTGACCAACATGGTGAAACCCCCTCTCTACTACAAATACAAAAATTAGCTGGGTTTGGTGGTGAGCACCTGTAATCCCAGCTACCCAGGATGCTGAAGCGGGAGAATTGCTCGAACCGGGGAGGTGGAGGTTGCAGTGAGCTGAGATTGCACTCCAGCCTGGGCGACAGGGCGACACTCCGTCTCAAAAAAAAAAAAAAAAAAAAAATCAGATGAAGGGA